GGGGGGGGGGGGGGGGGGGGGGGGGGGAGAGGGAGGAACTTACCATACTGGTCTCAGAATATGAAGATGCCCCCATACATAGCCCACTCTGTTTGTTTGTTTGTTTGTTTGTTTGTTTAAGTATTGGTCAACAAATTAAGATCCCGAATCGTGAAGAATACAACAATGTGAAGAGTCGAGTCCCGTCACACCAGAAAAAAAAACAAAAAAAAAGGGAGGAACCTCCTCATCGCCAATGCAGTATAGGGCTATGTATGGGGTCATTTCTTACTTGTCTGGAATGCCAGATAGGTGGTTTGGCACACTGCTCAGACCGAACAAATCGATCGGGCACATCCAACACCATTGACGGTGGCTTAAACCACCAGTACATCGCCCCAGCCAACTTGAGAATCACGACGGAGCCTCTCCTAAAAGTTTGGAGGCTCCGGGCAACCAGACCCAAATGGCTGGCAACGCCAGCATAAACTAAAACAAAAACGCCGCACTGGCGCTTCGGCAAAGCTTGGCGCGCAGCGGGAATCCGCCTCGCACAAAAGAGGCACGGCACGGACGCACTGGTCCTTTCAAGTACCCACCTCTGAGATTGGCATGGCAAGTTTCAGAGTTTGAGCACTGCTCGCCGCTGTCGCCACATCAATACTGCTGTGCTTACAATCCTTTTAAGGTCCCTCCTGTTCGCCGCCCACCCCCACCCCACTTTTCCCCTGTGCCCATCCCTAAATTGGCAACCAAACAATCCTTTAAAACCCGGGTCGGAAAAAAGAGGCTCAGAGGGACTGGTGGTTTTAATGTCATGCAATCTCCAATGAGATCTTGACCATACATAGGCTCCCCTTACCTTGTCCTGTACCTACCAATCAGAAGAAGATGTACATCACCACATTCAAGTTGCAGTAAAGCACATCCAGGCTGTGAAGAAAACAGGCATGCTGCACCGTATCCCTTGTGGGAACCTCCCGTAATGTTCATGCAAGGAGAGCACATGGGAGCCTCCCTTAATTTTGCCGCCGCAGGCATGCCGCACCAGATCCCTCCTCGTTCAAAGCCGCATCTTCTGCGCTGCTGCACTCTGCAGTGAGGAAACCTAACATTCTGATGACATCTCCAAATCTTCATGACTCAGGTAAGTCTCATACACAGTACACCCTCAACAGAATCATCATACAGTCGGTCTTGTGAAGTTCAAGCTCTTACAGTGGGTAGAATGCAAAGTACGATAAGCGATTGATTACATAATCGAGCAAAGAAGGAAAGAAAACTCATGCTCCGTGAGGTCTCATGCAATTGAGGGCAGTTTGTTTGCAATAAATTCCTGAAGGATTGACCGCTCTCTCCTGCCAAGATGCAGCAGCGCATCACTTGCATCAATTGATATGGCTGTCCAAAGTACAAAAGATGCTTCTCTCGCCGTCTTCCTTTGTTTTCAAAAGGGTGAAGCCGCCTTGAGATATCATCATTGAGCTGACCGGTCCCAGGAAATTCAGAATTATTTTGTTATGCTCAGGCGGTCGTCTGGATTCGAACTCTGGTCTGTAATTCAAGCGTTCGTGGATGTACCAACTTCTCTCACCTTCTTCTCTTTGCTGATACCAGAAAACCGTAACACCCAGCCATCAAGCAACCATCTCCGATCTCATCAGACGCTGCTAACCTGACCTGATAGAGAGCTTTTTTGTGTTGTTGCACCTCCTATGTATACATACGCCGCACCCAGATCGCGTTTGTGACTGATGTGCCTTTGCCAACGACCTGGACGGGGGCTGTTAACGTCTGGCTCCAGCAAGCCGGGCAGTCATAATTTCACAGTCCTCGGATGAACCCGTGCCTTCTCGGCATCGATGATTGCACAGATCTGATCGACAGCCTTCTGCAGCTGGCCCTCCGCATTGACAACAACATAATCAAACTCGCTCATCCTTATCGCTTCCTCTCTCGCTTTTTTCACTCTCACTAGCATTTTTGGGACCGTTTCTGTCTTTCTTCGAATGAGCCGGGTTACCAGCGCAGCCTCACTCTCGGCAACGAGGAAAATGAACACTGCCCCATCGCCAACGATCGAGCGGATCGTCGCCGCACCCTGAACATCAACACGGAGCACTACATCCTTCCCTTGGCGTATACATGACTGCACCTGCTCCTTTGGAATCCCTTTGTAATCGCCGTACACAATGGCATGCTCAAGGAGTTCATCGCCATCGATCATGCGCTGGAAATCGGACTTTCGCACAAAGAAGTAGTCCACACCATCAACCTCGCCTGGCCGCATCGGTCTTGTCGTCGCAGTCACAATAAATTGCAATTCCCCCCTCGTTTCCTGCAGCCTCTGTAGCATCAAGGCAGAAAGCAAAATGAGTGCTCGCCCAGAGCCCCACAGCAGCATACGGACGATAGATCGGAAAAAAATTCAAAAAATGTATAGTTATTATGTAATTATAACTTATATAAGAATAAACTTCAATAAAGTTTTCAAAATTCAGAGTCACGGAGTAATGTGCGCGAGGTGGTGGGAAGCCATGCCCCAATCCTACCATAGCCGCTTAGATGCCAACTCACTTTTTTTCATTTTCTAAGACGCTGACTCCACCCTACCCCCAATGAACAAGCAACGCCCAGAAACAAGCAGCGATAGCCAGAGTGTCAATGCCCCCATACGGGAACCTCTCCAGCAAGCAGAGGATGTGTTGGGAGGTGCTGGAGAGCAGGGGGCGACAAACAATACCCAGAACCGCCAAGCAGAAAAAGAAGATCTCAATCAGCTATGGCTGCCCAGCGTGCTTTTGCTGGCACTAGAGAAACAAAGTGTCCCTTTGAACTCCATGCGTCCCTGGGTATGGCTTTCACTACCAACCTTCAGCCTATGCCTTCACGGAGGAGCAATAGCGGTTTGATCAGAGTTGAGCCACTTAGCGGTGCCATCAGCAATCATGTCGGGGTGGTAATGGGAGGAGGAGGGAGGAGGGGGGGGGGGGGGGAGGAGGAGGAGCAGTAAGTTCGTTCAATGGGAAAGCAACCGCCATAAGGGGTTAGAAAACAATGTGACAGGATGAGATGGGTGAGAGTAGGAAGCCATCAACAGTAGATGAGCTCAAGCAGGATGTCTGGACAACAACACTGCAATGTGTTAAGGAAGAAACGTGTGAGGTCGCACATACGGAAAGGACTGAGAGAGGTGGTGGTATGATGGACCGGACTGTTCTAATTAGACAACAGGTTTCAAGTTTCAGGGCCACTCGAGCCGCAAAAGACACGAATGTAGAGTTTTGAATACAGGACAGAGAGAGCCATGCAGTCTCTGATAAGAATCAGGGATAGTTACTGGAGCTCCCATGGAGGTTGCTAGGGTGGTAGTCTGGACACCAGTACGGACTCAACTGCTGACTCGCGGAAAGCAAGGAGCAACTGGGCATGCACGTGTGAGTGCAAACAAAAAGAATGAAAACAGAAAAAGAAAGAAAATTTGAGAGGAAAGCTGGGGACATGACAGGTGAAATCAGGGCTATTCTCCAAATGTTTGTTTAGCATATCCAGGGTAAGAGGGTCGTTTATCTGTGGAAGTTAGGAATAGGGTTTGAAGGGTAGATAAAAGAGCAGCCCAGATCGTGCAAAGATGGTCACTCCGCGCCATCTCAACTTCTCGTGCAATCCACTCTGCTGACAACGTTGGAATTGACTCCGTTAACCATCTCCTCAGCTCGTCATGCTTTCTCACCTTATCACCCATCCTTCCCTGCGTCACTTGCCCACCCAATCAATATCCCACTTCTTTCTCATCTACCTCCTCCTCGTCCTTTCTCTTGTCTGTGTCCTCCTCTTCCTCCTCCTTCTCTTCCCCCCCCCTTCCTCTTCCTCCTCCTCCACCTCCTTTCTCTCCATCAGGTTATCCATAGCAGGGCACATGCCACCATGATATCCAAGCCTCCTTCCATTGCTCAGCCTTTCCAGATGCAGTACCTCCTCGTCGTTTCTCTTGTCCTTGTTGTCCTCCTCCTCCTCCTCCCTCTCCTCCTCCTCCTCCTCCTCCTCCTCCTCCGTGCTCCCAGTCAGGAAATCCATACCAGAACACATGCCACCATGATATCCAAGCCTCCTTCCATTGCTCAGCACCTCCTCGTCTTTTCTGTTGTTCTCCTCCCCCTCCTCCTCATGCTACCAATCAGGATATCCATACCAGAACACATGCCACCATGATATCCAAGCCTCCTTCCATCGCGCATCCTTTCCAGGTGCAGTACAAGTGAGCTCAGGTATGCAGTAGGAAACCTTAAACCACCACTATCTCTGAGCCTCTTTCTTCCGAGGCGGAAAAGAACTGCACGCCAAGCTTGGCTGAGACGCCAGTGCAACTTTTTTTGGGGGCGGGCTGGTGCCGCCACCCATTTTGGTCCGGTGGCGCCCTTGTAGGTTAGCTTTGCATTTCAAGTTTGCCTTTGAAGAGTAGTGGCGGTTTAAGGTAGGTAACCTCATATCTGAATAGAGCACATCCTGTTGCAACAGAGTGAGGGTCCCGACTGCTTAGTTGCCAGGGTCATCGTGAGCAACACCTTTACTTGAAGGCACACCCCAACCATTCATGGAGGTGCACAAGTAGGCTGCATCTGCCTTGCCAAAAAGGCATGCTAAACCTGGTTGCCGAACCCCAGAAGGGGTCACGGGTCCCCAGGGGTTGGCGCCCTTAAATGACCAGTACGATTCCGAGGTATTTCATTCCAACGTGGCGGTCGACACCTCGTGTCCTTCAGGGCTCAGCCTACCAAAAGGAAAAGGCTGGCAGCACCAGGGAAAAAGACGTGATTTTGCACCAATGGTGGATGGCAGCAATCGGGCTTGGAAAAACGAGGATCGGACATGCATGTGGCCCAACCCTGAGGACGCCTGGGCAAATTTCAAACATAAAAAAAAACACAAAAAAATAGAAAACCAAAGACTAATTCCAAACAGAAAAAAAAAAAAGACTGATTCCAAACAGGAGAAGAGTCTGGTGCAAGCAAACAATCAGGGCTCCTTTTCCCTCTCTCTGGTGTTGAACACATACTGAACTGTGCCTCACATGCTTTCCCCCTGCACGCCCCCCTTCCCCCCCTTGTGTGCCACCCTCCCCCAGCAGAGTCGTACACGCCTGGGTGCACTCTAATGACAGATGACCTCAGGGCTGACGCCCGACTAGCAGCAGGGCAGGATCAAGTCAGGACGGTCGGAAGGGATGGAAGACAGCACAAAACAAAAAAATATTTTAATAAAGCACTCTTGGAGAAACGACGTGAGGAGGCAGTGAGCCATGCGTCCTCTCCAGTGAGCCATTGGCTCCCACTGCACCCCATGACAGCTGTGCTCCTTCATTTGAAACCCGCACACACTGCCAGGGCATGCAAACCCATTGGCTTCAAAAAATGCAGGCCCTGGCAGTGTGCGTGGATTTTGACGTTCAATTTTCAGAAAAAGGAAAGAGCACGCTGGTGGGCTTCCACTTCAATGGGCACAGTACAGCCCCTCCAGCGGGAAAAACAAACAAACAAACAAACAAACAAACAAACAAACCAAAAACTCTTTCGCTCGCCCGAGGTAACCCACACGACTCGCCTGGGTGCCCAGCTGGGGTGTATTACAGGCTTATATACGGCCCCCAGTGCCCCCCACTTCTCATTAGAACCACATGGCAAGTGTTAAACCACCAGTACATGGCCCCAGCCTTGCTGAAAAAAAAGAAACTCGTCAGCTATGAAAATTCCAGAGGCTCGGCCTACCGCATCACCACAATGACTCGCGGCGCCAGCCAAAAAAAAGAAAAGAAGTGTGCCACTGGCAGTTCTGAAAAGCTTGCCGCGCGGTATGGCACCTGCAGGCCCAGGTGTACTTACTGGTAGTTTAAACTGCCAGTTCACAGCCCCAGCCTTGCAGAAAGTTTTTTGTCGTCACAAACAAAACTTGGAGGGGCCGCGCGGCATGGGGCGCCATTGAAAAAAAAAAATCTGCAGCCTAGGAAGTGGTGCGGGTTCCACGCTGACACCCGCGGGCCTATGTATGTTCTACTGGAGCTTTAAACCACCGGTACACCCACGCTGCAGTGCGCACCAATCTTTTCCGAACGGCCAGCAGTGCAGATTTTATCAGGCACCGCCAGCCATTGTGGTCCTGTAGGCCCGAGGAGTGAAATTTTTGGAGAAGGCGACGAACAAATCTCCATAAAGCTGGGATCGTGTACTGGCGGTTTAAACCACCAGTACACGGCCTCAGCCTTGCAGCAAAACAACTTGTCACCACAAGAAGTAAAAGGCGGGCTCGGGGCAGGACGGAGCGTCAGAAGGTTTTCCAATTTTTGGGCCCATCTCAAATCCATACGCCCCAAAAAACAAAACAAGCTTCGGCCGTGATTGCAGTTGGATACACTTTTTGGAGTGCTCGTGCGAGTTTGCCCTCAGTGAGGGCACTTCAGCAGAACGTAGAACACGGGGAGCAGGACTGTCGGACTCTCTCAAAAAAAAAAATAATAAAGCCTTTGGCCGTGATTGCAGTTGGATACACTTTTTGGAGTGCTCGTGCGAGTTTGCCCTCAGTGAGGGCACTTCAGCAGAGCGTAGAACACGGGGAGCAGGACTGTCAGACTCAAAAAAAGAACAAAAAAAAAAAGGCCAACACCGCTTTGGCCGTGAAAGTGGTTGGATGCATTTCAACGTCACTAGTGTGAGTATGCCCTCAGCGAGGGCGTTCTGAGCAAGAGGAATATGCGCTGCCTTGCTGGCAGGGCCAGGAAGAAAAACACAAAACGAGAAAAAAAGGAAAAACAGCAACGTTTCCCTCTCCCCGTAATAGTGGTCAGATGCATTCAGGAAAGTGATCGTTTGCGTATGGCCTCCATGACATCCTTTCACGACATCATTGCTCTCTGGCATGTTTGTTCCTTTCTTTTCTTTTCTTTTCTTTTTTCCCTTCAGGCAGACCGCCGGCACCAGTGCCACTTCCGAAATTCCCACTGCAGGTACCCTCACGCAGAAGGCTCGGAAAATAGTGGCGCGCAGTGGGCAGGTAGGTTCGGAATTTTAGCGGGTGTACTGGCGGTTTAAGACATCACAAGGTTTTTTTTCCTCATTTTCAATTTCCCTTTTTTTCTCTTTTTTTCTCTTTTTTTTCCCTTTTATTTTCCTCTTTTTTTTCACTTCTTTAAAAAAAAAATTAAACTTTTTTCATTTATTAAATTATTATCAGCACAGTTCTCAATTCATTATCAGAACGTGTTCTCAATGTCGCCATGTGCGAGGATTTGACCCCTCGGAAGTGCCTGGAAAGGCCTTGCCCGGCCTACGTGACGGTGGGCCTGCCAATATACAGGCCAGTGTGATCACCCTCAAGGGGTCGTATATGTGTGGGGAATGAGCCCTTGCATGGGCCCTTAACAGACATGCACATGTTCTGGGAGGAGGCCCTCAGCAAGCCCTGTGCCCGCCCTAAGTGAAGGTGGGCCTGAATATTCACAAGAGGCCAAGATTTGACATCTTTTCATATGTGGGTATCAGACAGTGGCAGCATGCCAGTTGGTTACAGAGCAACGTGAGCCTCTCTAGGCTCTTTCCAGAAGTTGCAGCCTCGACGGGCAGTTGAGCCAGGGCCCCGTACAGTTAAGGCCCTGGGCGTGTGCTTTCAGAGGCCGACACACATACAACGGCCACGGGCCAATGAGATTGCAGCATTGTCGGCACATAGTGGCCGAGAGCCAATGAGATCACAGCGAACATGTGGAGGTCCGTGGTTTGCCTGGACGTACCCAACTGTAAAGGGCCCAGGCCCATAACTGCAACTGGGCCTGGGCGCAGGCACTGAGGCCCGGAAGCTACTGGATGCTCGCCCAGCCAGGACCAGAGGCAGCAGAGGCCGAGCTCACTTTCCATATAGGAAAGTGAGCATTGCTGGGTGGGGCTCTCTGACCTAGGCAGGCAATGCGGCCACGCTGCTGCGTTGCAACTTCGTGATCTGCGCGAAGCTGCCGGCTGGGTCCGACGCACGGGCGCTGGGGTGTGAGGTGCACTGCTGGGCAGTGGGCGCACGGCAGCCATAGCCGGGTTGCTGGGCGCAGGACTGGATGGCGATGATGGTCTTTGGGTGTTGAGGACGCACACTGTGGGAAGTCAGGGATGATGAGGAGAGACGAGATACATACCTGGTGCATGAGGGAGGTCAGCTATGCTGTTGACGTCATGTACATTGGTCTTCAAAGTCGAAGTGAGCCTGTTGCGTGAACGCTGGTGTAGTAGGATAGGCGAGTAGTGTAGGCTGGGCGCTGGTGTTCACCATGACTGAACACCGGATACTGAATGTCATTTGACTGGAGGGTATGGCAAATTCCAGTGTCCAGGAAATACTACAAACAAAAGAATGAAGGGGAAATTTAGGGGGGTGAAAGAGATGATAGGCGCTGCCTCCGGGGGAATCCGTTCCATTCTGCCCTGGTAGGCGTTGCCACCAACACAGGCAGTCTGACAGGTTTGGTGAATTGTTTCTCGGTTGCTGATGATTGCAGACACGACAAAAAGAGAGGGAGAATGACTTATTCTTCCTCCTCCTCTTTTTTTTAAGAGAAGCTGCCTTCTCCTCATATGCGAGACAGCTGTTTTTTCCCCCCCTTTTTTCAACACTACGGCGACTACGCTATTTTCTCGTCTCAATGATTGCCACCTCACACTAGCTACCTACCTACATACCCCGCGCTATCTACCCATATATCATATCTAGCATGGTCAGCATAGTTCTGAGTCTATCTCCTCAGGGTTGAGCCTAACCCCCTAGCACGGGTTGGGAGAACGACTTATTTGAAGTTATTTCTCAGTTGCTGACAGATAGCAGACATGGCTAATGGAAATGGGAGAGTGAATTAACTTCCCCAGGTGTTTATGGTTGCAGACATAACGAACGTAGACCATACAGAAACGGATAGAAACACAAATGCAGAAGAAGAAAGGTATATAATATATATTATATATAAATTTCATGTCCGGTTTTAAAGGAGAGGTAATCAACTGTTTTCTATTACCGATTACCCCCCTCGCAAAACTAAATTTCGTAAACATCATAGAGGCAGAATGAAAGGGGTTTCTATATCGTACCTTGATGACAGAATCTTTGCCGACGCCACTTGGGCCACTGATGACAATGATCAGAGGGGATGGTGGAGGGGCCTGTGGTCCTGTTCCCAAAGGTCCCCCCAAGGAGCTCTCCACGCTGCCGAGAATCGCTCCAGAGTCCATAGACCCCTCGCTGCCCATAGCCTCTGCCGTCTTTACATCCAATTCTTTAATCGCCGGCTTAAAGTCTGTAACCGAGCCAAATTTTGATGGGAGCGCCATGGATCCTGCTTCTGTTTGAGCCCCTGACATAGTGAAGCCTTGTGATTCCAGCACCCCTATATTGGCAGCAGTCGCACATGCATATAGATCTTCTCTCCTGCCGATGATCCCCCATTTACGCACTGGGTAATCGTGTTTGTTATCCGACGCAAATTTCCACTGCAGTGCTCCGTCTCCGTTTGGCGAGATTTCTGTCTTCCGCAAAACAACGAATTACTACATGGCATAAGCAATGCATCCCACTGACATTGTTAGAACATCATCCTAATCATCATCATCATCATCATCGTCATCATCACCGTCATCATCGTCATCATTGTCATCATTGTCATCATCGTCGTCATCGTCATTACCACCACCACCACTACCACCACCATCATCATCAACATCAGACACTCGCTACCATTACACCAAAAATGGCATTTGTTGCTACCCGAAGAGAATTGTATGAAATTGGGGACGAAATTAAACAAAACTGAGCGAAATTGGGGACGATATTTTTTTCACTTTCTTTCTTTGTTCCTTTTAAAAGGGAGACGGCCTTGAGATATCAACACTGAATGATTGAACCGATCAGCCCGTATTTTACTCTGATCATCTTTCATTTCATCTGGATTCGAAATTGTGTCTGTATTTCTACAGTTCATAGGCATAACAACTGAGCTAGGCCCGCCAGTTGGGGACGAAATTGGGACAGATTGGGAATGAAATTGGACAAAATTTCACGAAATTGGCTGAAATTTCAGTTCCAGGGCCAGAACAGGGGTTATTGGGCGAAATTGTACGAGGATACAAGGGGAGAGGAGACTTTAGCAAAAGTCCTTTTTCAGGGCCAGAACAGGGGTTATTGGGCGAAATTGTACGAAGGACACAAGGGGAGAGGAGATTTTAGCAAAAGTCCTTTTTATGAACAACGCTGAACATCAACGGCGGATTCGTCATACCACCGACATTTTCTCTTCAAATCTGATCTTCGTAGTTTATCCGATGGTTGCCTCATTGTTAGGATGTACGTGTATGTGTATATGGCCATTCTTGTTTGAATAGAATACCCGAAGAAGATGGATGGACTTCGTTGCCCCAGTGTCGTCACACAGGGATCCCCAGGGCATGAGCCGAGGTTGTCGATCGACCTCCGGACCCCCGCGCAGGGACCTCTGGTTCCCGACCCCCTGGGGTGAGCGGGTCCCGGGGGGAGCAAATTTCAGCTTTTTTTTTTTGCTTCCCGGCACTCCCCGCGAGGAATAATGCGGGGAACCGCTTTTTTTCCCCCCAAACTGGAACTCCGCAGAGCCAAAAAAAAAATTCCAGCCGACCGCCCCTGCGGACCCCAAGGTGTCTTGTGGCTTTATATGCCACAGGTTTTTTTTTTTTTTTTTTGGGGGGGGGGGGGGGAGACGGGGGGGGGGATCCGGACCCGGGTTAGCACCCCCAAACCCCGTCGGGAGTCCGCGCCGGGGGGTGGACAAACCTGCGTTGCCTCACATCACCAGGCCCCAGTTTTCCAACCTCTGTAAGAGCCAGAGCCAGTAACTATATAGGTGGGTAAAAAATAACTGCAAGGAAAATGCGCAGTGCAAATGACAGAAACCAGATTTTGCATCATCCCATCAAGAACCAGAAAGGTGTGCTCGAACAGAAAGCAGCATGAACCAATATATACACCAAATAAGACCAAAGCAATGAGCTCAATTAACAATGTAAGCCCCCATCTTGCCTCCACCACCAACGTGTCCAATGGCACTCTTCTATATGGCGCTTGGCGCCCAGACTAGGATCAGACAGCACCTAGACTAGCCTATCAACTAATGGCACAAACAGGTTCTCTTCAGCAGCAACCCGATGTACATGAGTACCCCACCCATGCGGTACACCTCCCACACCAGGTATGTCCCCTCGCACGCCCCTGCCTTGTATTGTCCCCACAACCCCCGCGGACCACCACCATACCCTGCCGGCTCCCTGTGAGCGCAGCCTGGCTATGGCTGCCTCACTCGCTGCTCCTTGCAGCTCTGTCCACCTGCACCCGTGTGCGCCCTCCATCCCGAGCCTGTGCTCGGCCTGCGCTCCAGCAGCACTGCCACACGAGTGGCATGCCAGAATATGCCTGGATCTGGCTTCCCACTTTCCTTCATGGAAAGTTGGCTGGCTGGCCTGGCCTGGCTGGCCTGGCACATGCAGTCCTAGTAGCTGCGCCCCAGGGCCCTTCCAGAATGTGCCTGGGGCTCAACTGTGAGGGCCCTGCGCCTCTGGGCCTTTGCAGCATTGTCGAGAGGTTCAAGGCCTATAGATAGATATCAGTCTGCAGTGATGTTCCCGCCAAAAGTAGGTGCCACGCCGCGTAGAGGCAAGTGGTGCCCAACCAACAGGCACTGCAGGTGGGCAACCAAAGCACATCATGTGGAGCAGTCCGCTCGTTCACCCGCCAGTCATGCTGCTCTGCCGAGAGGACGAAGTGGGAGAGCTGCTGGAGGTAGAAGGTGCAGCTGGAGAGTGATGGAGATCACCTCCACGGCTATGGAGGCATAGTAGGGGAGGTAGGAGTAGTCCTAGGCTATGGAGGTGACGGAGAAGGACCTCTGGCCAGGCTATGGTGTAGTAGAGGTTGAGGAAGGAAAAAAAGGTTGGAAGAAGACTCACCTTTGGCTATGGTGGACCTGCATCTTCACCTCCAAGGTTGGCACTGCATAAAGAAGGTCCCTGAAAGGGGGACTTCGTTCCCGAGAATGGGCTTGGTGGTGGATGATGGAGACGGGATGAGAGCATTTGTGTTGCCTTTGAAAATACCGCCATACACATGTGCCAGAGCGAGGTAGAAGGCGGGTGGAGTAGGCCAAGGGAGGGCTCTTTACAAGGCTGGCAGTAACAAGGAGCAATCGGACATTGATTATGGATCCTGCATTCACTGTATTGTTGTTTTTTATCTATCTATATCTACATAATACTTCAAAGGAATACTTGAAAGGACTCGGAAAAAGTGGGCCCTGTAAGGCGCTTTCCATGGGCCCAACGAAAATCAGCCCCAAGCAGTTGTCTGATGGGACACAAGATGCCCCGCAGAGTTTTTGGGGCATGGGGGTCTTTTTTTTTGGTTCGCAACGTCGCAGTGTCAAGGACCGCAAGGCCATACGCTTTCAGGCCCCACATTTCATTTAGCCGGTGAGTTTCTTTTTTTCGATTGTCGTGTGTTGAGCCTCATTTCACTTTTCACTTTTTGACATCACGCCTCAGCAGGTGGTGTTCGTTCTCTTCAATTGGGGTGTCAAGGGCAACCCCCGGTTCCGTAGCTGGCAGATGTTCATCCATAGTAGTCACGTGGCCCGTAGCTGGCTGCACCACTTACCAAATGAATCTTCTGATTCTTTCGCGTGGGTTGCAATGAATGGCATCGTCTCACTTTCAAGTTTTGCAAAGTCGACCAGGAACAAACCTTACAAGCTGGTTCGGGAGATCAAGCTACCCTAGCCTAATCCGAGTCAACTAGGGAAATTAACCTTAGAAGAGGGCAGTTGTGGCACGCTGGCGCGCTAGGGTCCATGTATTTGAAAGGATTCGTGAATCTCAGAGTTCCAGTTCCAAGTCCCAAAGTCCCAATTCCCATTGTGCCATATTCCCAACCGGTAGGTCCGTGCTGTATAGGACTAGTAGTTCAGATTTCAGGCCAAGTCAGTAGCACTTAGGTCCGTACAGTCCCTAAAGCTAGGAAGGTCCCACCCAGTCTGTGCATCAGTCAGTCGCAGTTCAGTCCGGAAGTCCGCAATGTTCCGGTTGCCGGAGGCCAACTGTGGCTGCAAGGTACGTAACCCTGTAAGTCAAAGTCAAAGTTAAAGTCAGCACATTGTAAGCGCCTTATAAGTCAAAGTCAATGTCAATGTCTTGGAGGTAAAGTCCGCATTCTAGCTTAGTCCTGGGGTAGGTCTAAGTGGTCCGCACAGTCCATAAAGCTAGGAAGGACCCGGTAGTCCCTCCGTCTGTCCGTCAGTCAGCCGCAGCTCAGTCCAGAAGTGCAAAATGTTCTGGTGGTCGGCTTCTAGCTTAGTCTTGGGGTAGGTATAAGTGGTCGTACAGTCCAGAAAGCTAGGAAGGTCCCAGTAGTCCCTCTGTCTGTCCGTCAGTCAGTCGCAGTGGTCAGAGGCCAACCGCTGCCACAAGGAGTAGGTCCGAACCCCAGTTAGCCAAAGTCAACGCCTTATAAGTCAAAGTCAACGTCTTGGAGGTAAAGTCTGTGTTCTAGCTTAGCCTTGAGGTAGGTTTAAGTGCTAGGAGGTCGTAGTCCGGGGTCTTACCGGATTGACTGTTCTGCGAGTACCCGTGTAAGCCAAAGTTAACACCACCTTATAAGTCAAAGTTGACATGTTGGAGGTGAAGTCCACACTCTAGCTTAGTCTTGGGGCAGGTCTAACTGGTAGGAGGCCATAGACCGGGGTCTTACCGCATTGACTATACTACGAATACCATTGACTGTACTACGAGTACCTTTGTAAGTCAGAGTCAACATCTTATAAGTCAAAGTTGATGTCTTGGAGGAAAAGTCCGCGTTCTAGGTTGGTCTTGGGGAAGGTCTGAGTGGTAGGGGCTCGTAGACCTGGGTCTTACCGGATTGACTATTCTGCGAGTACCTCCGCCATGGATGATCTCCCATTGTATGCCCTTCTCCTCTTCTCGGCCCTTTGCCGCCCCCCTGTTGCAGTTCATTTTCCCATTAGGGTTGTCATAGGCTTGCCAGACATCCCCTATGACATCGGGACAGTGGGAGAGAGATACCGGGCCAGGAAAAGAAGCTGGAGAAGAGTACGAGGAGGAGGAGCAGAAGAGAGAGCAGAGGAAGAAGACGAACGAGGGGGAGGCAGAAACCTCCACTGAAGGAGAAAAGGAAAAGAAAGAAAGGAGGAAAAAAGTGGTAGAGGAGGAGGATGCTAGGCAGAGAAGGGAACAGAAGAAGAAGAAGAAGAATTGGAGGCAGAGGAGCAGTAGATAGAGTTGAAGCAGAAGAAGAAGAAGAAGAATTAGAGGAGGAGGAGCAGTAGATAGAGTTGAAGCAGAAGCAGAAGAAGAAGAAGGCAGTGAAGGGGCCAGCCACTTGCCTTCCAGTAGAGCTACAATGGCAGATGGCGCCTCTTCTTCCCTGGCGTATGCCGTGTTTTACCAACTCCAAACCGCTACCACTTGTGTTAGCCAGATAGAGCCCAAC